GTTGTTGTTGTTGTTGTTTACTTTTTGCCAAAATCATCAATATTAAAACAATAAAAGGCTTGAACTACTTCAGTTGGTGTGCAATGAATCTAAAATATATGTAAGTTTAATGTTTATCAGTACATTACAGAAAATAATGAACTTTATTACAATATGCTAATTTTTTGAGAAGGACCTGTATTTATAAACATCCTTTATGATGGTAAAGGAGAGTCTGTGACTGCAGTTTGGCCRTTTAAGGGATTTTTATTTCAACCTTTAGACAAGCTCAGGTAACCAGCCACCTGAGCTGCAGTCAGGCTTTTAAATGAATGCATGTTTAAATCTAAGACACYAAACCCAGCTGGCTGACTTGTAACTTGTCTGTTGGTGTGATTGGATAAAATTGCTTCTGATCTGCACACGAACATAAAGACAAATAATTTTGTTGTAGAACAGATTCTTGTCCACACAGACAGTAAGGTTTAAATACAGCTAGAAGAGCAAAACCTTTGAACCTTTCGGGACCTCTCCTGTACTTGTATGCAAAGGTCCTAGAAGGGTTTCGCATCAGGTTTTTGGCTTCAGCAAGCTTTGAAAATCTGTATTTCTGTTGCAGTGTGTTGCTGCCACTTGGGTTCAGTTTCAGTGTATGTCTGTGGAACAATCTTAGCCGCAGGCTACACTTATGTTACTGTTGCTCATTTTGCTTTGTTGAGCCACGGGAAAGACAGAACTCACAGTTGTCAGACTTTTTTTGTTTTTTTGCAGCGGAGTAAAACTGTGTTAAAAAAAAACTTAAGATTACATAATTCTGATGCTTTTTGTGTTTGCACCTTATAAAGAAATAAAAACTGAGTTGCAACGTGGAGTTTATTATCTCATTCAAGATGAGTGTAACAAGTGAACTGGCCAAGATATTAGTCCAGTGAAATCTCAACAGATAATCTACTTCACTTTTTAGCTTCAGCCACCCTGAACAGTCCCATTCAGCTGTTTGTGCCTTTTACCTGCATTTCTTTATTTGTTGTTTTTGTGATGGAATCTGCAGTGGTCACACCTCTTTCTGGTTCAGGCACCAGTTTGAATAGAAGCTGTACAGAAAGTCGACTTTGAATGCATTTTGACTGCATGTAAACGATGCATTTTTTGCATTAACTATGATGCTTCTAAGTTGCAGAAGAGTTTTTGACTGGCCGATTGTTGTAATAGGAAACAAACTACTCTTTGCAAAAATACAATTACCCTAACTTGAATAGTACCTCTTTCCTTGTGTGTGTGTGTGTGTGTGTGTGTGTGTGTGTGTGTGTGTGTGTGTGTGTGTGCATTTTTCTGTTTTCTAGCCACGCNTGTGTTTGTCCATTTTTCTGTTTTCTAGCCACGCTCCAGCTCCCTCACAGAAGGGACCTTTTGTTGTAGGTAGTTACGGCTCACATTCCCTGGGCAGCGCTCACACATGTGCCTGAAATCTCACTTTGCTGCACAAACCCTCCCGTACAAACCCACACACACACACACACACACACACACACACACATGAGCATCATCTGCAGGCCGATTTAATGTGTTTGGTTGCCTTGATAGCAGACCATCTGTATTTCCCACCATAGACCACCGGTGTAGCTGCTTTTCAGTAATGTGAAATCAGCTTTGGGAAATGAGGAGGGAAAAGGTCTATTCCAGATTCTGATGTGACTCAAAACTTTTAATCCCCCCCGATAACTTTTTTTTAATTAGTTCAAGTAATTGTGGACAGGATGCTCTTGAACATAAGCCGCTAAAGTCATCGAAACCATCTAATCTTATTGAAATGTTAAAAGGCATTGCCTTACTTTAAGTAACACTGGTCTTTTTGTTTTTGCATAAAGCAGTCAGATAATTCAGTCTGAGAGTTCCTAACGTTTCACTTCTTCTGCCACGTTAGATTGCTACAGTCTTTGGAAGTGTCGACTTTGCTAAACTTTTTACAAACTTGAACAATACGTGAGGCAGCTTCACTCAGAGTAACATCCACATTTATTCAAACTCTTAAGCACCAAAGTTTTTAACACAAAGGTTTGACATCTGGGATCTCTTAGGTTGCTCCATTAAAAACACCAACTCAAACACGGAAAACCGCATTCTTTTTATTTATGTTTGTATGTAGCTGCAGCAGTTTGTTTGTGTCTTTGATTCTTTTATTGTCATGATGAATGTGCCTTCGTGAACACTTTATTCTCTGACTCATGGCTCGTCACTGAAGGAACTTAATGTTCAGTGACTCATGTGTAATCCTTGCTTATATGAGACTAAAATTTTAGACCAACTATAAAAGATACAATCCTCACCTTTTTTTTAAAATCTACATTTTGTTTGTTTCTACATTTTATGAGACAACAATAAAGCCAAAAATGTCTTGTTAGTATTATCCTCTAAGGCTCAGAGATAAGATGAAGGCAGCACAGCTAAAGGTCAGTGCTTTGAGATGTTTTAGACAAAGATTTACATCAAGAAATCAAATTAAAACAACTTTTTATAAAGCACTTTTCATACATTAGGATATCACAAAATCCTTTTACAACTAATAGAAACAATGCATAAAAATGCTACAAGCAAAATTCTCATGTAAAATAATTTCAACAGAAATAAATTGTTAAATGATTAAGCAACAGTTGTTGTAAAATGATGGAACTGTACGATAAGGTAACACAAGAGTCAGAGTTGTAAAGTAACTAAGTACAAATACTTCTTTACTGTACTTAAATAGAATTTTTGGGTGTCTGTACTTTACTTGAGTAATTATTTTTCAGCCTGCTTTTTACTTCTGCTTCTTACATTTTCACACAATTATCTGAACTTTCTACTCCTTACATTTTTAAAAAAGGCAAGAAGTAGAAAGTTGTTACTTTTATTTCATTTTTGCTTGTTTTCATTCCAGATTGTTATTGTAAAAAATAAATGCTATCCATATAAATTGTACCTCCTATAGAGTGAATTTAATTGTGGCTGAATGAGAAGTTTAAATATATAAAACTCTGATACCGTATTAGTTTGTGCACAAACAAATCATGTCACACTCCAGCAGGACACAATCATTAAAATTAAAGGACTGTACTTATGAAGTATTTGTATTTCATGAATTGTATTATTGCAT